GGCATTCCACATCCTAACTATCCAAGTAAAAGAAAATCTTCCCAATTTTGTCCATTTTTGATTATCTTAATGTATGCCCTCGTGAGTCACTCACTCACTGACCAGGAAATAATTTTTCCCCATCTAATTTAACAAAACTGCTCATAATTTTTAAAAACTCTATTTGTTCATCCCTATTATCATCTCTGTTCCAATGAAAATAGAAATAGTTTCCCCAGTATCATCCAAATAAATCCTCTCTGCATCCTCCCTATAGCCGTGGCATCGTTTGTGAATTGGGGTGATCAAAACCGGTTACAATACTCTCTAACGTCAGCCTAACTAACTATTCACACAAGTTAAACACCATCTCTTTGCGCTGAACCTATACAGACTGTCACATTAATTCAGTATTAACGCAAATTAAGTAAAAGCAATTTAATTAAGCTCTTATGTTACTATTGAGAAGACAAGTTAGGAAACCATGAATATAATAAGAACATACCACTGGCAAAGAAATATTGATTTTAAGGAAATGCATTTGTAATGAATAAAATATGATGTTTTTTTATTATTTGTAGATCATAAGTTTAAATAATGCAATGTCATAATATTTTGTATGGCAGAGCTCTGCCACACAAAAATAGTGTGAGATTGTATTACTTACGACATGAATATGAATATTATTAGATATTTGTGTTATGCGGATTCAATTTTTACAATAGGTAAATGGATATGGTGCTGTTTTGACAACAGACTAAATTAGATCCAAATGTTACTCAGAAATAGTTAGATTAAAACATGAAGTTATTTTTATGATGCATAATATTAGAAATTACAACCATTTCTGTATCTGCTTATTATTGTCATTGTTGAATCTTAACAATTCAGTCAATACAGGATTTGTTTTAAATTACTAAGCTAGATAGGGAGTGACTCTTCCTTTTGAACCAGGGATCCAGAAATAAGGTAACATTCTCTTATTGTACAAACTTTCCACCATCTATATAATAATAATAATAATCCTTGAATTTGATATAGCGCTTTTCACGTCTTCTAGACGTCCCAAAGCGCTTCACAGAATACACTGTAAAGTGAATTGACTCTATATTTGTGGGCGAACGCAGCAGCCAATTGCGCAGAGCAATGTCCCACAAACAGTCGTGGATAGAAAATGACCAATTTATTATTGTTTTTGGTTTTGGAGGGATTATTATTAGGCTCTGTGTGGAGTAAGGAAACTTGCCCAAGGTTTCGCCCTCTGCCTGGAATTGAACTCAGGTCTCCCACTTGCAAAGCGAGTGCTCTAACCACTGAGCTACAGGACTCCACAATATATTTCTATATTGTAGAAACTAGCAATTAATTACTATCATTGTTCAATGGTAATAGAAACTAATCATTGGAAGAATCAGCAAAATGCGCACAACCATGTCCCACAAACATCTATGAAGTGAATCAGCAATTTTAAGTGGACCAGAACACCTGGGGTTAACCCCACCTTTTCTTTTCAAGTCGTGTCACGGGATCTTTAATGTCCACCTGTACAGACAGACGAGACCTCAGTTTAACATCCCATCTGAAGGATGGCACCTCTAGCAATGCACTACACTTCCAGCACTTCATTGGACTGTCAGCTTATGAGTTCAAAGCTTACTGTGTTGTGAACATGAAACAAGAAGAGAGACACTTGAAAATAAATGCAGATTTTACCCTTAAATTCACAGCATTTAGAATTAGTCATGAAATGAGATGTTTTCAGACACGACAATAAATTTGTAGAGCTAAAATATACCTTTTGAAGAGATAATGGAGGGATTAAGTTGTGGTATTTCTCAATGAGATTTCTTGGTATAGAAACAGTAATTGAGAACATCTTCCATTAACCAGAAGTATATTACACGTTGTGCAGGAACTATTCTGATCCAATCAACTTAATAATAATAATCCTTGCATTTGATATTGTGCTTTTCACGTCTTCTAGACATCTCAAGGCGCTTCACAGGATATACTGTAAAGTGAATTGACTGTATATTTGTGGGCAAAACGTGGCAGCCAATTGCGCACAGCAGTGTCCCACAAACAGTTGTAGATTAAGTGACCAAATTATTATTGGGTTTTTTAGGGGTTATTATCCCTGGGAAAGCGATCCGCCAATGGACTAACAACCAGGTTCCTTCTTACTGCTAAGTAAACAGAGGTGAGTGTAGTAAGGAAGCTTGCCCAACATTTCGCCTTGCTGGGAATAGAACCCAGGTCTCTCGCTTGCGAGGCGAGTGGTCTAACCACTGAGCTACAGGACTCCAACTTGTAGAGCAAAATTCCTCAGGGTCTCCAAGAAATAGAAATCATGCAAATTAGAACCCCACTGTACTTTTTTTTGGCCCTTATATGACAGAGTTGTGTGAAAGCCATTCACTATACTGTCTGACACTGCTTTCTACAACATTCCATCTTTCAGATTGTCCAATTATGACTTAATTTAATATAATAATAATAATAATCCTTGCATTTGATATGGCGCCTTATCACGTCTTTGAGATGTCTCAAAGCCCTTCACAGAATATACTGTAAAGTGAATTAACTGTATATTTAGTGGGCAAAACGCGGCAACCAATTACTCACAACAGTGTCCCACAAGCAGTCGTGGATTGAAGTGACCAATTTTATTATTAGAGGATGTCATTTTCCCCAAAACTCCTTTGACTACAGTAAAGCATTGTTTAGTAAGGTACAGGATTATGCGTTTGTTTTTAAATCACTTCCTATTCAGAGAACATTAATGGAAGAATTATATAAGTTGGTCCAGTCGGGGGGCACTGGAATATGTCTGATAGCACTAGTCTCAGTGAAGAGGCTACTCATCTGAATTGCTATTCGTGTTTTTTTTTCTATTTTTTATTGCTTCTGCAATGCATTATTAACCAAAGTCACTGTATTCATTCCTGTTGATTTAATTTCCTGTGAGTACTTCTGTGGAACTCTACTAGATCAGAGGTGGAATATTATTGCTCCTCATAATGAAAACCTGTCACTGAGCCTCTGACTGTTTCATATCAGAGCTATTGGGGAAACGAGAGTATATAATGAAATTTCAACCATTTTATACGGTATTGTTATTGCCTCAATACTAGATCGGCTACACAGGAAAAGTCCAACAAAGTTTTTACTGTTTGACAACTTTATGACCTTATTTATCTGGATTAGCCAGGTATGATTCTGAGCTGCCATGTGAAATTCAATGATAAGCAGTCTGACAGTGAGTCATTGTAATCAAATGGAAACTTACTAAAAAGATAATAGAGTGGCACAGGATATGACGGACTTACTGCTCAAAGCATTCACTGAAAAAAANCTATCAGAAGAGGCAGCATCACACTAAGAAAGCCATAGAAAATGTTATCATTCTTCACCCTCTCCCAGGACAAAAAATACATAAAACGGTTGTGAATTCACAGATAAAAGAAATGTTACAGTGCCTAGGACTCTGCAAACTTTTTTTTTACCTTTAATACGAAGATATTGGAATCTCTTTCATTTTCAGTAGGAGCTGAGCTGACATTTCAGCAATGTTTGACGAGTGGCAAGTATTGAATTGGTTAATAGTATTGTAGGTCACTATTATATTTAGAACCCGAAACCAAAGGGAGGTAAGGACCTAGAATGGCAAATAAATCCCATTCATTTTCTTGGCCAATGTCTAACCTCCGTAAAAGATCGTCCACAAAATATACAGCAATCCGCTTTACAATATATTCTGTGAAGCGCTTTGAGATGTCTCAACGACGTGATAAGATGCTGTATCAAATGTAAGGATTATTATTATAAAACCCTGCTGCATTTGAAAAGTTTGCAGCATTGTTTGAGGAACTTGAGTTGTGCCTGTGATGGGATTGAATTTGGCAGCAGTAGATTGGGTAGCGCAGCTCAGCAGAAGTTGACTTATTTCAATTATATTTACTGCTAAGTACTGAATTAAGAGAACCATTCCTTCTGCATCGCATTGATGTGAATTGAATCAATGGAGTCTAGGGGAATTTATTCCATTGCCTCTGTGGAACAGGACTTTCCACTCTGGTTTATTCATGGCTGAAAACGTGTTTGTAAAATTGATATATTTGTCTTCTCAATTACAGGACTTTGAAAAAGGTTTTGATATTTATTTTTCACAATAGTCACGAAATGTTTCACAATTTTTCACAATTTTTACAGCTAGAGTTAAGAACTAAAAACCCAAACTAAAGTGTTATTTATACATTAACCTTTCAAATTCATCTTGGATGCTGGAACTGTAATTTGTGAAGTATTGTTTGGTTGTGGAACTTTCAATCTGCTTTTAAAAGCTAATTTGATATTTCTGGGCTCTGATGAAACTCTTCTCTAGCTGTAGTAGTCTCCAAGATTTTTTGTTGTTTCTTCCATTCCACATATCTTCCTTCAACAAATCTTAACTCTTCCTGAAGACAAGATTTTCTAAGAATTGAATACCATTCTTCAAATTAAGTCTCTTTCAGCTCCTCTCTCACACGATATAAGGTGACCCTTTGCCTATCTCTGTCCTCTGACCTTTCTCCTTCCATCACAGCTTTCTCTGATTTATCAATTCTACTATAGTCATTTTGCCTCTGAACTTTCCTTTCTTATTTCTCTGCTCCAAGTACTCCATTCTATTGCTCTCCCTGAGATCTGCTCCCTGGCTGTTTGGTAATCAAGATTGTTTGCATGTCTTCTACTTTAACTCGTACTCCCTTGTATTTCTATTGGGAAATACAATTAAAAATGTCTGGAAAGTAACAGTTGAGAAGAAAATCGCTCACATTAGAGCTAAGGCCTAATCCTTCGTCTATATTTGTTAATAGAAACATTCCTTAGTATAATCTGATCGATTTTAAACCCAGAATTCTGCAAATGGGTGGGAACCATCCTAAGCCCTATTCTGTGAGTATGTGCCTAAAACTGGTTGAACAGGTTAATGTATAATCCTGTTATATTAATAATCAGTGTATTATATTTCCTCACAGAACCAAACCGGGTTTGATGTATCAGCCTACGAGAATATATACTATTTATTTTGGGTGTTCGAACAGCTTTTGCAGCACAAGAAGCCAGAAGAGAGTGGAGTCAGCATCATAGATTGTGCAGAACAGAAGCACTTTCAGCAGAGATTAGATAAGACAATACTTCACCTCGCAGATGATTTCCCTCTGTTTGCAGTGTACATGTGGCGACTGGGAGTTCTGTTAAACACTCCTTCACAGTCATGAGCCAGCTGAAACATCTTTCTATAATTTAACATATTGTTTTTACCTGTTTCAAACCATTAATGTGCTTCTTAAATTTATCTGCATTGAACATTTTTTGACATTTGATTTTATGGCTTATAAAATTATTAAAATAGCCATTGTTGCATTCATGTACAAAAAATCAGGAGGATTGTTGATATCTTCAAAGAACAATAAAGAACTTTATGTAACCTTACCTGTAGTTGACAGAACTGCACTTAAATTTGCTACATCTGTAGATGAAATTGTTCTCAACACAAGCTATTTGATAAGATTGGGGTGATGCATGTACCTGATAATACTAGTGAGCCCACTTAAATTGAAACCCAACTAATCGACTAGAACTAATAATCCTTGCATTTGGTGTATGTTCTTTCATGGTTAGGAGGACATCTCAAAGAGATTCATGGGATTTAACATGAAGTGTACTAACTTGTGTATTTATCGGCAAAAACAGCAGCCAATTTGGGCACAGCAATGTTTGTTAACAACAAGACGCTCATTTCCCAAAGCACTGTTATCACATCCGCTCAGTATAATAGCCAATGCTTGTGGCACAAAATAATTTTCCGAATTATACGGTTTCCATATTCACTGAACATTATTTTAAATTTGTTAAATTAGCCTGTGCTGGATTCACTTGCACAGTAATTTAGATTTGGTTGAAGCGATTAGATCAGCTTAAGATGCAATCTGTTCCGGAGGTTAACCATTGTATTTTGTATAATAGAAGATAGGCCACAAGCTAAATATAAAAACATTTCTGCTATAGCGTGATGTTTACATATATTTAGTTACTTACATTTTTCTCTGATTCAGCCATAGCTGAGGCATAGTGGGGGTGAAATCTTATGTCGATTGCATTAGGAAACACTACAAATTTCACACTGATGTGTCACGAGAAGAAACCAAACTGCGGGATGGGAGAGGGAAGTTCTAAAGTTTCCACAAGTTCAACGTTTTGGAGCAGAGGTGCAGATAGATAGGCCATAAAAAAGGGAATCCTTGTTTTTTGTCTTAAGATATAGAATACCAAAGCAAGGGGATAAACGTACATGACCTTAATTAAGCCACAACTCGCTTATTGTGAACAGATTTGCGCACTCCATTATAGGAATGATAAAAGCAATGGATAAGTTCAGCGTAAACTTAATTGGATGTTGTCGAAGGTGAGGGACTTGAGAAGATGGGGCTTATTTCACTGGAGCTGAGAAGGTTAATGGTGACTTGAAAAAGGTCTTCAAGATTATGAAGGATTATGGTAGAGTCAATAGTAATAGAATATGACCATTAGTTACTAGGGATCCAAATTTTAGATAATCACATGTTCAAGCAGCAGTCTTACCTGGATTATGTGCCAGCAATTTTTGTGCTGGTATGCTTATAGTTTTTGTGGTTGCCTGCAGCTTCCTGCACCTAAGGGTAATAATCTTATTATAGGATGACATAGAACAATACGTACATGAAAAAGTTTGTAACATAATAACATTGTCTTCAGTGACGAAAAAGGCTTAAACTTTCCAAACAATTCAAGCTGTCTGCTTTCCATATTATATTCATCCGTTTGGTGTTCCTCCTAAAGAAAGTTAGCAGGACAACACAGTGGGTGATCTGTGGGGAAAATTTGCAGTATTGCTGCAGAAGCTGCAAGTCAATCCTGACCTGAAACGCAGCAAGCCTTTCAATTACCTGCAAAATTTCATTTGGGCCGAGTTGCCCTTTACATTAAGCCCAATTTAATACCGGATGAAGAAATTATCATCTTATCAGAAGCATTCGGGCATTGCTTTGAAAATTAGCTGTAACAAATGATGATACATTCAATGTGGAGTCCTGTAGCTCAGTGGTTAGAGCACTCGCTTTGCAAGTGAGAGACCTGAGTTCAATTCCAGGCAGGGCAAAACCTTGGGCAAGTTTCCTTACTCCACACAGAGCCTAATAACAATCCCTCCAAAACCCAAAACAATAATAAATTGGTCATTTTCAATCTACGGCTGTTTGTGGGACATTGCTGTGCGCAATTGGCTGCCGCGTTCGCCCACAAATATACAGTCAATTCACTTTACAGTGTGTTCTGTGAAACGCTTTGGGACATCCTCCCGACGTGAAAAGCGCTATATCAAATGCAAAGATTATTATTATTATAATGCATTTGAAATATCAATTTTAACACTTACAGTTTTGTGTGTGAAAATACAAAAGACTAATCACAGATTCATTTGGAGAGCCAGAGGATTTGAAATGATTCTATTATCCTTAATACCCCAAAAGAGGTGTGCATTTATGTATAATTTATTGAGGATTAATAATGATAGATTGACAGTCACTTTGGAAAATTAGCTACAATTATGAGCAATAAATTCGCTGACAGCAGTCGCATTTGTCTCAGATCAAGACAGAGTATGGAATAATTTGGCAAATAGAACAGTTCATTACTTCCCTGATACATAAGGAGGTTGTATTGAATATCTGTTTCCGTATCTTAAAGCAACGACCAACCTCTTGGAAGGATGTTCCATTATTTAACTGAATTTTTTAAATATATTGACCAGGTACACACAGTACTTTATGTATTTAATTTCAAAATATCATATCCAATTTAGTGCAACACACATTTCAATTTGAAAAGAACTTTATAAGTGAATCCCCAACTGAAAAATTACCTCATAAATCTTATTTTCAAATATAATATGCAACTCAAATAAATTAGCAGTTGATTGTGAAATATGGGAGGAGATGTTACAGTCAGCGACACAGTAAACCAAGTTTGTTAATGGTACATATTTTGAATGCTGCTCTAGAATGGTTCAATAAAAGGACTTAAAAGTCACATCACGGGATTCACTGTGAAGTGCAGTGAATGTGTGTTTTGTGGGTGAATACAGCAGCCAGTTTGTGCACATCAATGTCCCACAAACAGCCATGAAAGTGAGTAACCAATTTTATTTGGGGGGAAGGTCAGCCAGCACACCACGTGAAACTCGTTTCTCTTTTCGAATAATGCCATGGGATCTTTACTATCCACCTGAACAGGCAAACAGGACCTCAGTTTTAACATCTCATCCAAAGACATTGTACCTCTGACAATACAGCACTTTACCCGCACCCCGAACTGCACTGGAGTGTCAGTTTAGACTGCATGAGACATGGAGCTTGAATCCACAACCTTCTGACTCAGGTGAGAGTGCTATCAACTGTGTCAGGCTGGCACATAAAATTAGCAGTTTGCTGAAGATCAACAAAACGTAGATGCAACCAGGTTAATCCCAGATCTAAAGTTTGCATCAGAATATCTTACTAGAAACAACAGGGTTCAAAATGTGGCATTCACAAACTCTTATTGCGCTAAATTGCTTCAAATATTGAAGCACATTGCATGTCATTACCACTCCCCTACTAAACAGCACTTTAACTGAATAGTGGCAGTGCAGCAAAACAAATTACTAGAGGCAGATTTAATTAGAAAAAAGCAAGATTCAAACAGCCCATTCACATCAATTTAAAGCAGGAATTAATAGCTTCTGCTCTGTCAAACTGATAATTCTAGAGGTTTGTTTATTTATGTTTAGGCATATAAATGTGTTGGTACATTTAATAACTGTAGGGCATCATAATGCTGTACTTGTCATTATTGCAATATTTGATGCTTTTATTTTTTTTAGGACTTCCTAAATTGTACTTGTATTGGAGAAGAACTAGGATGATCCCCAGTGCTAGAGGACTGAGCTATGAGCAATGATTAGACAAATTTGGGCTCTTCAATCTTGAGAAAAGACTCAGAGCGATCCTCAGTCTAGGGGTTCACAATGTGTCAATAATTATAGTCTGACATTTGTAGTCTCACAATTTGGTATTGCAGGCTTTGAGTCTCAGCAGAGTTTACGCACCTAATCGGAAACAACTGTGGATATTTATCTGGACTTATTCATACCTGTTTCGATGTAGCTGAATTTTTCCACTCTAACTTCACAGATGAAGATATATAGTTCTACTGAGTGATTTGTCTTCCCTCAGCTTTTGATAATGTGGTATGATCAGATTTTAACAACTCCCTTTGGTTCTTTTCTGTTGAAGGACTCCTGACATATTTAATGAGAACATTCATCGAGTTCCTGTTCAGACTTGGTCAATTTTCCATTGAAGTACAATTCTTTCAAACAGAAACTTACGCTTTGATAAGCTATTCCAAATGAAATTCACAGCTTATCTGTGTTAACACCTAAATGCTAATTATTTGAGACTGCCTATTTTTATTCTAGCTCTGCCATTTTCTGTTACTTCAAACTCTCCTGTTTCAAGTGTCACATGTTATAATCCAACAAAGTTTAGCGCAATAGGTGAGCTTAACGCTGTACTCTATAACAATGAAAACGTCACATGTTTACAATAATAAATCTTTTAAATCTTATGATTATAATAATAATAATCTTTGCATTTGATATAGCACTTTTCATGTCTTTTAGACGTCTCAAAGCGCTTCACAGAATATGCTGTAAAGTGAATTGACTATATTTTGTGGGCGAAACATGGCAGCCAATTGCGCACAGCAGTGATTCATCATAAAGCAAACTGCTGTTTGCAGTTTAGCTTTTATGGTCTCGTATATAACAGACATGTGAAATGCTTTGAATGGACTGCATCGTAAAGTTTGGAAATGCAGCTTTTTCTGAAGAGAACGTACCACATATATTTTATGTAGCACAAGCCTCTTTCTGCAACACCTAGAGGATTCAAGAACAGGATGAATTCCAGAACATTTAAAACAGCCTACAGGGTGGTGAAGAGACAATACTCTGTAGGACCCAAGTGTGTGCATGAAACAGAATGGACAATTGGCCAACAACAATAACAACAAATTGCATTTATATAGTGGCAAAGCATAGTACTAATGGTCTCAGTAAGTACAAAAGAGCACTCGTGTTACGTGTAGCATACTTTCAGGAGTTGTGAGCCTTCAATATTATTAATACTACTTGCATTTGGCATAATGCCTTTCCCATCACGAAAATGTTCCAAAACACTTCACACAATTTTCTGCAAGTGATTGTATATTTGTAGGCG